CCACCTGTGTCAACTGGAACCAGTACTACACCAACTGCTCTGCCGGGGAGCACAACCCCTTCAAGGGCGCCATCAACTTCGACAACATCGGCTACGCCTGGATCGCCATCTTCCAGGTGGGGCGGCCTGGGGGCCGGGAGCGTGCGCAGTCCAGGCTGGAGCGGTCATTGTCAGCGTGGGGGTGGGGTCAGGGCCTCTGGAGGAGGTCGCAGGAGGCTTTAGGGGGCCTGGAGTCAGCCTGCCCCTCTGCCACCTCCCCAGGTCATCACGCTGGAGGGCTGGGTCGACATCATGTACTTTGTGATGGATGCTCATTCCTTCTACAACTTCATCTACTTCATCCTCCTCATCATCGTGAGTGATTCCTCAGGCCCCCGAGGGGATGGGGGAGCCTAGGGAAGCGGGTCGGGGAAGTCCAGAGAGGGGAAAGCTTGCTCGGTCTGAAGTTCTAGCTCTCGGGACAAGTCCCACTGAGGCACAGACAGGGAGGGCACCTGTCAGGAGCGCTCGGGAGGAAATGCAAGGTCAAGGCCTGACTCTCTCACTTACCACCGCTCACAACTTAGGGCGAGTCATTCCCACCAGGCTCCCAGCCCCACCCTGGACCTCTGCCCAGGGTGATACCACCTCCGGAAGTGGCAAAGGGTGGTCCCGGTTTTTCGCCAGGACTGGGAGAGCACTATTGGCACTTTGTTGGGGAGCAGGCAGGAGGTGGTAAACCTTCTGCAAAATGATTTCTTCCACCCCAAATTCCCATCATTTGCTATTAAGAAACGCTGCGTGATCTCCTGCTCCTTCCAGCTCAGAAGTTCCAAGACTGAATGAGGGCAGAAGACAGAGGCGAAAGTAGCAGTATTTAAAATTCAAGTCGCTACCATTCATCGTTTAACAATTTGATTGCTTACTCCTTATAGCTAATATTTGTTGAGCGCTTACAAGGTGTACCGGTTAACAATGTGGATTTTGCATTATTGACCGGTATGTACAAAATCCGCGTTGTTAACGGGCACACCTGGTACTGTGCTCCAGGCCCCGCTCTAAGCACTTTTTATTGCTGGTGGATTTAATTCTCACCAGAATCCTGTTATCATTTCCACTTAGCAGATGAGGAGACCAATGTGTCCTCCTTGGTCTGACCTCAGCGTGGGCTTGGCATGTGCTGTGGATTAATCTTGCTGGGTGGGGTGTTGATGCTGTTGTGCACTGTAGCAGCTGCTGCCGGCTGCGTCCTCATGGTCCCTGGGGAAGGGGGTTCAGCGAATGGGGCCTCAGCTCTTAAATGAGAACTCTGGGCTTCAGAGGGCTTGGTCACCAGGCTAAGTGGCTGGAGCCGAGAAATCAACCCCAGGCTATTGACTCCACGTCCAGCCCTTTTCCCCTGCCACCCAGAGGCCAATGACAGAGCCAACAGAGGCACAGATATTGAGAGAAAGAGATTAAAATCTACACAGGATTTAGGGCAAGCTTCAGAGAGCAGTGGAGACAGAATAAGGCCGTGAGAGACAGCGGATAGGCCCTGAGAAGGAACAAGTCCTCCAGCCCACCCCCTCCTGCCCCCACAACACTCCCTAGTGCGAAAGAGTAGCCAGGCTGGGGGCCTGTTCCCATCCTCCATCAGGACGGGGGGGGGGGGGGGGGGCGTCCCCCATCAGTGCCTTGTGGAAGCCTGTTCTTTTCCCTTTGCTGTTCTCTCTGGGCTTGGGTGACGGGGAAGGAAGTAGACAGGGAGGTAAGGGGCCCAGTTTCCATCCTCCCACACACCCCCTGAGAAATCTTTCCCAACAGCTCTCTGGACTCACACTAGTGAAGCTAATTATCATAATTACTAGGACACAATTCAGAAAAACAAAACTGCTTTGTCACCATAAATATTCATTTCCTTCCTTCTGGATTATTGTCCAAGCAACGGCCATCCCAGAACTCTAGGGAAACTGAGGCATGGAGATGGGGACAGGGGAGTGCAGACAAGTCAGAGTGAACCAGTGCAGGGTTCAGGGTCCAGCCCATCCCCTGGCTGGGCGAGGGGGTGAGCCTGGGGAAAAGGGATACAGGCAAAGCCAATGGCCGTGAGCACACTGCGGACCCAAGGTTAAGAATCTCTCCCTCAAGGTCACACAGCTAGAACTGGGACTGGAAGCAGGAGTCTTGTGGACAAGCTTTGTGCCAACATCTCAAAGGCTCAATCCAGTGTGGAAACCCCATGTCCCCAAGACTGGGTTCATTTCCCCAGCCTTCTCTGCTCCTGGTGGGAACTGGGGAGGGGTGTCCAGAATCTGCGCACTGGCACGTTTAGGGGCAGGGAGTGCGGGAGACATCCTTGCCGGGCGGCACCGGGATCCCTAGCAATGCCTTGGAATCCCGGAGAGCTCGGTGCAGGCCTTAGCTGTGCCGTACATTAGCTGAAGGATCTTGGGCAGATTCCTCAAACCCTCTGAGCCTCAGTTTCCTCACCGTCAAAGGAAGATAATAGAAGTATCACCTCTTGAGACTGTTAAAAGAATGCAATGAGATAGCGCTTGGACAGTTGCTGAGCCCAGTGCCCGGCCATAGGCAGGGCTCCGTGCTCGGGGGCCGGCATTGTGATTCCCTCTTCTTCAGGACTGTCTCCTCTTGCTGTCCCCACCCCAACAGGTGGGCTCCTTCTTCATGATCAACCTGTGCCTGGTGGTGATTGCCACGCAGTTCTCGGAGACCAAGCAGCGGGAGAGCCAGCTGATGCGGGAGCAGCGCGTGCGGTTCCTATCCAACGCCAGTACCCTGGCCAGCTTCTCGGAGCCGGGCAGCTGCTACGAAGAGCTGCTCAAATACCTGGTGTACATCCTCCGTAAAGCAGCCCGCAGGCTGGCCCACGTTTCTCGGGCAGTGGGCGTGCGGGCCGGGCTGCTCAGCCCGGCGCCCCTGGGGGTCCAGGAGCCCCAGCCCAGTGGCAGCTGCTCACGCTCCCATCGCCGCCCGTCCGTCCATCACCTGGTGCACCACCACCACCACCACCACCATCACTACCACCTGGGCAACGGGACGCTGCGGGGCCCCCGGGCCAGCCCAGAGATCCAGGATCGGGACGCCAATGGGTCCCGCCGGCTCATGCTGCCACCACCCTCGACACCGGCCCTCTCCGGGGGCCCTCCTCGGGGCGCAGAGGCTGTGCACAGCTTCTACCATGCCGACTGCCACTTGGAGCCGGTCCGCTGCCAGGCACCCCCGCCCAGGTCGCCATCCGAGGCATCAGGCAGGACTGTGAGCAGCGGGAAGGTGTACCCCACGGTGCACACCAGCCCTCCACCAGAGATGCTGAAGGAGAAGGCACTCGAGGTGGCCCCCACTTCCGGACCCCCCACCCTCACCAGCCTCAACATCCCACCTGAGCGCTACAGCTCCATGCACAAGCTGCTAGAGACGCAGAGTACAGGTGAGAGCTCTGCGGGGCCGGGTGGTGTCCCAGAGGGACTGGGGGTCTGGAGTCAGGACTGGGCTCGGATCCCCATTCTGCCACTCACAGCCTTGGGACCTTCCATCAGTCACATGACTTCTTGGAGCCCTACTTTTCTCTCCTGTTAAGTGGGAATTATGGTTCCCACATTGTAATAATAACAATAACCATCACGTAATAGGCACCTGCTTGCTACACCTCTGCGCTGTTTGCTATAACACCTGCGGTTGTTGGCCCATCGCTCTGTGCCTGTCACATGCCTTGCAGGCAAAATCCTGTTGGCTCCTCCAGTTTAAATGATCAGCTTTCTTTTTGACCCCATTTCACTGATGAGAGAAAGGAGGCTCGGAGAGGTTGCCGGTCTAGGTCCAAGGTTGTGGCATCAGTGAGGGGTGGACTTAGGACCGCCTGACTCTGAGGCCCAGGCTCTATGCCGAGACCCCCTGTTGCAAGGCTTGGAGGAGAAATGGTGTCTGACTGTGGCCAGCACCACGCTCTCGTGAGCATGAGTTTTAACCCCTCCCCACAGGGAGACGGGGGGGCCTGGAGCAGCAAGCCCACAGGGGGCTGTTATTCTGATGAGAGGAGCACCCACTGTCAGGAGTGAGGTGCTCACTGCCTGTGGGTGCCCCCCAGTCAGGCAAGGGGCGGCGGGCCCCCTTCCACAGACAGGCTCACTGTCAGCACAGCCCAGGGCCTGTATTTCAGGAAGGATTTGGCACATGGGAGAAGTGGTGTATTTGTGGGATGTTATGTGGGAATGCGGGCTGGGATAGGAAGGTGTTATCACAGAACGCAGTGCGAAGGGATCTGGTGCCAACTCTTCCACTACCCGCCATGTGACGCCAGCCACTTGCACGCACACGCGCTGGCACGTTTCAGTTCCCTGCTCTACAGAAGGCAGGGCTGGGACCAGCATGGGGGGTGGACGCTTAGGGACACCTTGCTCTGTGCAGTCGGAAGGGGAAACCGTGTTGGATGTCTACTGGGGGCTGGGCTCGGCTCTTAGCCGGGTGCCTGCTCGTACCTGCTTTCCCTGGGTGGTTCCTCAGGTTCCTTTCAGCTCTCATATGTTATGGTCAAAGCTGGGTTTAAATGGACATTTATGTCTGAGGATAGGTCACTGTGTGTGTATGTGTGTGTACGCATGAAGGTGTCCTGTGTGTGTGTCTGTATGTGTGCATGTGTCTGGTGTTCGTGTGTGTATGTGTGCATAGGTATCTGATGGTGTAGGTGCATGTGTGCGCACACAGGAGTAATGCTCCTATCTGGTGTGTATGCATGCCCATGTGTACATGTGCAGTGTGTGATTTGCATGTGTCTGTGTGCACATGTGTTTGGCTGTGCATGTGTGGCATGCAAATAGTATGTGTGTACACAGTACATGCGTCTATGCACATGGAGTGTCTATCGCGCACATGTGCATGTGTCTGGTGTGTACATGAGCACACGTGTGAGGGCGCATGACTTAAGAGTCCTTTGGGAAACACTGCTCAGATCAGTGTTGGTGTCGGGCCTGTGACCTGGGATGTAGAGATGACCTAAGCTCCGTGCTGAAGGCTCCTCGGACCTCACATAAGAGCTTCCCGGGACCTCAGAGGACATCAAGGCCCCCTGCCCGGCCCTAGGACACCCTGTAGCGACTGTCAGAAGGATGCTGTCGGCATTCGGGAGCATTCTGTCGCTCAGAACTGCTTGCACTGTAGGGCATTCAGCACCCCTGGCCCACTGAGTGCCTAGTACCCCATCATCGTAACAACCCCATGCTCCCCACTCATTTTATCCACCCTCTGAGGGAAGGCCGCCCCAACTAAGAAGCCCTGGAGCCTCTAACCTCCACTCTCCTGTCTCAGGCACCTGCCAAAGCTCCTGCAAGATCTCCAGCCCTTGCTTGAAGGCAGACCGTGGAGCCTGTGGCCCAGACAGCTGCCCCTACTGTGCCCGGGCTGGGACAGGGGAGGTGGAGCTCGCCGGCCCCGAGATGCCTGACTCAGACAGCGAGGCGGTTTATGAGTTCACGCAGGACGCCCCGCACGGCGAACTCCGGGACCCCCAGGGTCGACGGCGACGCAGCCTGGGGCTGGATGTGGAGCTCAGCTCCGTGCTGGCCTTCTGGAGGCTGATCTGTGACACCTTCCGCAAGATTGTGGACAGCAAGTACTTTGGTCGGGGCATCATGATTGCCATCCTGGTCAACACGCTCAGCATGGGCATCGAGTACCACGAGCAGGTAGGGCAAGGGCACGATGGTCCCTGGGGCTGGGGACCCTCTGCCTTCCTCCCCTCCCACCTGCTGTGCTCAGCTGCCTCTCCGTGAGGCTAGCCTGCGTGGCAGGGAGGACAGCGGGGAGGCGCAGCAGCGCGTGGGGACGCGTTGGAGGGTGGAAACCAGTGAATGTCACGCAGTGTCTGAGTCTGGGCGCTGCCGGGGCAGGGGCAGGGGCAGGGTCTGAGCTGGGTGTGTTCTTCCTGGGACGGCTTCCCAGAGGAGTCAGGCTTTGAAGGATGTGAGTGACGAGCATCAGCTGTGGGCAAGGCCTCTTTGGAGGGACAAGTCACTGGAAGAGATTTGGATCTTTGGAGAAGATATGGGGGCGCGGGAGGGATTGGGGGATCCCCTAGCGTTCACCTGACTCATAATTAGGATCATGATTGACTAGAAGGGCGCTGAGTAGGTAGGGGTGAGGGGTGGAGGGTTGGTGGCTGCGCCTGGATGCAGCCAGGCCGCCTGGGCCTGGCCTCTGATCTGGGAGCCTCGCTGGGAGCGGGGTCTGTGTGGATGAGAGCACCTAGCGTGGTGAGGGGACTTGAAACCGTCGCGTTTGAGGAATCATTCTAAGAACCTGGGTGTTTAAGTCGGGAGAAAAGGAGGCTCAGCAGGGGCAGGCGAGCTGTCGTCAGATGTTGAAGGGCCATCGTGTGGAAGAGGGAGCAGGCTTGTTTCGTGGGGCGATGGCTGCAAGCAGAAGAATCTGGGCTGAGGGGAGGAGGCGGCCCTCGCTCTCAGAGCTGTGCAAGGACAGAATTGTGGCCTGGGGGACCCACGGACCCCCACCTCTCCCTTCCTGGGGGTGGGAGTAGGCACCAGGGGGCCTCACAAGCAGGCTTGGCTGCCTCCCCCACAAGGTTCCTTCCAGAAAGCAGTCTTTCCCCCCAGGTGGCCTTCCAGGTCACCCCCTTGGCGGATTCTTATAAAAGGAGGAGGCAGCCAGCAGGTGCTGCCGTCCACAGCCCTCTGCGCTCTTCTCTCCTGGGTGTGTCTTGCCTTCCTGTGGCTCCGGGAGGGAACTGGGTCACCAGGACCTGACTGTCCCTGGTGTGGCACCAAGGCCATGTGTTGCCCAGCCCCCCTAGTTGTGAGTAGGTAGGGACATGTAGGGGCCAGAGGTGTGGGAAGGGGTAGGGCAGCTCTGAGTCAGGGACTGGGTCTGGCTTGCCAGCGTCCCCAGGGGAGGGAGGAAGTAGGGGTCTCGGGTGAGGCTGGGGAGCGTAGGTGCAAGCTGGGGCTGGGGAAACATGAGGTGTTCATTTTCCAGGAGATTGGAAGCCACCTCCCTCACCCCACTGACCTCTGAGTGTTGTGAGCACCCAGCTCTTACCCCAGTCACCCTGTCCAGCCAGGTGTGCCCACCTCCCCACCTCTCCCCCATCGCCATCACACACCTTGGCATCCCTCCTGCTTGCCTCAGGCCCCCCACCCCAGCCGGCTCTGCTGGATCCCTTCCCTGCGGAGGAGAGAGGCAGAGGGGGCAGGAAGGATACCGGCTGCAGTGCCAGCAGGAGGGGAGTGTGGCACCGTGGTGGGCGTGTTGCGTCTGGGCGCATGGGGCATGCGGTGTGGGCACTTGCCTGCTCCGCCAGCCTCCTGAGGAGAGCTGCTCTGCTATTCCAGGCTGGTGGGGGCAGCCTCTTCTGCTGCCGGGCCCCAGGGGGTGGCAGCTCCTGACCTCCCTTTACCCTAGCTCCCCGAGCCTGAACCTCAGCCTCCTCTCCCTCACCCCAGATCTGGCTGTGGTCAGTGCCCGCCCCCAGGGGTCACCTCCTCCAAGCTTTCCTTTGGGGGGGAGGCAGTGTGCCCAGCAATCTCTGCCCAGCCGGATGCGGCTGGCGGAGGCTTTGCACTCGGAAGGAGCTGAGTCACAGAGACCGAGGGCAGATGAAGGCGCAGCAAGAGGGCTTTCAGTTAGACGGCAAGAAGGACACCCACTTGGGGAGAAAGTAGCTGCGATCGGTCAGGGGTGTCTCGGCACCGCCTTGCCCAGGTTCCTGAGGGAAGCAGGGGATGGCCCCCCAGGCCCTCGCTGGCAGGGATCCCCACTCGGTGGTGGCGCGGTGTCTGCGCCAGGGAGGAGTTTGTTCCAGTACCTGGCCGCTGAGAGCCCCGCGGGGGTGAGTGGGAGTCCCCAGCAGGCTGGCCAGATGACTGACTGCCGGGCAGGCCTAGGGACCGGGGGTGGCGAGGAGTCCCAGGAGCAGCCATGGCCCCGTGCTTGCAGGCACTGCGGCGTGAACATCCCGCCATCTGGGCCCCGGAGCCTGAGCCGGCTGGTGGTGGCGGGGAGGTGGGCAGGGAGGCGCTGCCGGGGACGTGGGGGCTGAAAGACAGAGACACAGAGGGGGAGATGGAGACACAGCAAAAGAGACACTGAGAGAGAAAGGGGGCGACTGAGATGGAGAGACGGGGGCACAGAGGACAAGATGAAACCCCGGGGAGAGAGGCAGATATAAAGATAGAAAGACAGAGACGAGAGGGACAGAGTTGTAAGGGGGGACAGAGACTCAGGGGGAGGAGACAGAAGCAGATGGAGTCACAGAGACATGTGACGGGGACAGAGAGATATGGAGAGGGAGCCGAAGACAGAGACCCAGACCCGGAAACAGATGACAGACCAGGGCAGACAGGGCAGGGCTGGGAGACGAGCTCGGATGGAGCCTTGCACACGGAAGGAGCGAGGCCGAGAGCGACAGCAGGGAGAGCGGCAGCAGATGCTGACCCAGGCTCATGGTTCCCCTGCAGAGCACGTAATGAGGTGATCATGTCCATCCGTCCTGGTATTGATCAGGCTGGGGGGCACTGCAGAGGGTGTGCTGTGCTCCCTCGGGGAGGAGCCAGCCCTCTTCGCTGCCAGGTGCCGCTGCCCTCCCAGGCCTGTCCTCTCCACTGTCACCTACCTTGCCCATCATTCAGTGTTCCTGCTGGGGATGGCGAGGCCTCTTCTGCCTCTCTCTACCGACATCTTGGCTGAGGAAGAACCCGTGTTGTCATACCCCACCCTACCCAAGGGAGGCGCCATGCTGTCCACACTGCCCTCCTTCCCCAACCCCGTAACCCACCAGCTGGTGGAGGACTGACAGGACTGGTTTGTCCAGAGGGGACTAAGGACAGGACACTAAGGACCTGGGGAGTGAGCATATGTGTGCCCCATCCACTAGGGGGCAGTACGTGGAGCAAGGAACTTACTATGAATTTCCCACGCATCCGTCCATTGCACACACATTTTGTGTGTGTCAAAGTTGGGCCTGAGCAGTGGCCTACTGACAAATGTTTAACAATCAGCCCTTAAAAAGAGAAAGAAAAAGAAGTTCTGATTTGTAGTGTTGTAGCATTTGCCAATTACCATGGTGTAAATGCTCCCACCGAGGCCAATTTTAAGCTGCCGTCATGACGTCACTGAGTGAGGAGCTGGGAAGGGATGTGCACAGTTGCTTCTCCTGAGCCGGTGGGAGATGGCTCCAGCACACCACTGGGCCTGCGGCACTTCATCCTTCCTCTCCAAGAGGTCACCAACAAGTAAACAGTCACATTTCCTTGATTAGGACGAGCTCGGAGAGGGAGGCACAGAGGCACAACCCGTGACCCAGACTGGGAAAAGGATTCAAGGAGGGCTCCATGTAGGACATGATCTTGGAGCTGAGTTTGGAGAAAGAGTGGGGCATAGTGGTGAAGGGGGAGGGGAGGGCACCGTGTGGACAAGGGCCAGCGATACCAGGCACCAAAATGGAGTGGTTTACTACTATAAGGAGTTCAAGGTACTGGGTAGGGGCTGAGATCGGCAAATGATAAGAGATGAGTTTGGAAAAAAATTGAAGGCCAGGTCCTGAGAGGCATAGATGGAGTTTGGATTTTATTCTGAAGGTGATAGGTTTCCAACAAAGGTTTGAGGCAGGTCAGTAAGAGGAGTAGGTTTGTGTTCCTGGAGGCCTTGTGGGGAATTGAAGGCAGGGAGGCTGACAAGAGGGCTGCTACCGTGGTCCGGGCGGTTCACACATCTGTCCCTGGAGATGGGAGGAAAGTGCTAGGAGAGCTGGCGGGTGGCTGAATCTGCGGGACTCAACACCGAGCGGATATTTGGGAGAGGAGGCAGCATGGACAGCATCTGGATTCCTGCTGGGGGTGGTGCACTGGAGCTTGAGCAGATTTGGGCTGGAGGACGAAGCATTGAGATGCCCCTAGGACATCCGGTGTCTGTCCAGCAGGCGGCTGGAGCTCAGAAGAGAGGCTGTCTCCCAGGACCTGTCCCCCTGGGTCTGCACTGGGGCAACGCCGCTCCAGAAGGCGGGCGCGGGGAGAGGTGCCAGGAAGAGGTCTCGGGGACACAGGAGCTTCCTCATCATCCCCCTCTGGGCTGTGGGTTGCTCTGGGCAGGGACTCACCTCTTATTCTAGAAAAGAGGCAACAGTGTGTGGGAGAAGGGGAAGGGCAGGCGGCCCAGCGGTCTCCTGGGCAACAGAGGGGAGAGAGGGAGGGTCCAGAGATGGTGGCCTTTCAGGCCAGGAGAGGACAGGGCAGGTGATGACGCTGCGTGTTGCTCTGACTGTCACGGGCCCATGCTGTCACTCTAGATACATGTCCAGAGAGGGTTTCTATTTATAAGTGCGTGAGACCGGCTGTTCAAGGTGAAGGAAGCCGGGGGGTGTGGGGGAGGGGGGGCATGGAGAGTCCAGATGTGGACTTTTGAGAAGATTCACAAACTCTTTTTGGATTCTGCTGAAAGCCGGGGACCCTCTCCCCCCAAAACACATGCATGCACAGGCACCCCAATCGGGGCCTTGGAGAACAAGGGTTTTTATGGACACCTTCCATTCCAAGCCGGCTCCTCGGAGCTCCCAGGCAAGGAGCCCTGGCTGAGGAGCTGGGGCTGGGGTGCAAGCAGGACTTGGCTGCCCAGGCCCCAGACTTTCAAAGGAGCTCCCTCTGTGAGGGGAGGGGGAGAAGAGTGCTGTAAGGAG